GCTGCAGAGAAGCCAGGGCAGCAGGGTGGAGAGGCTGCAGGTCCGAGCAACACCCTCTTGAGTGTGGGGCTCAGATGACAAGGAAGCTTTCCTCCATCCAAGGCTCTGCGTGGAGGAAAAAAAGTCATCCTGTGAAAAATCGGAACTTTAAACCCAAGCCTGACACTGTTTATAATATATAAATCACCTCAGCTGTGTGGTGAGTAAATCTCAAAAAAAAAAAAAATTGGGGGATCCAACCCAGGGCTTCGCACATGCTGAGCCCGTGCCGGTGCCCTGGAATGATTCCTGGGTCTGAAAGAATGACCCAACCCAGGCTCCCCTCTGGCTATTCGTGACTGGGAAAGGATGTCCGGGTGCTTGAGGCTCCCCTTAGAAATGGCAGAAATAAATAATCTAATCAGACGAGCGCTCCATCAATAGCTTGTTGCTTCAAATTGCAATTAAGCAGCTGCTGGCACTTCCAAATAAATATGGTACCAATTTCCATCTCGGTATGGCTTCATTTAATGTCCTGTGACATCTGACATACCGTATCACTTTGGGCACCCAAACAAGAAGCTGCATGTCATTCAACCTGTCACAGATGTGGAAGTGAAGAGGCGGGGCGTGGCTTCCCAGGAAGCTGTGGCTATTGGCACGTTCCACTAAAGGACACTGGCCCTGGGCTGGTGAGAATCCTGGAGGTCAGGGACTCTGCCTGACACCCTTGTTTCTGAGTGGATGGTACTTCTCTTGGAAAGGAGAGATCCACACTTTCTGGAATTATGCCCCCCGCCCCCAGTAAGTTATTCTTTTAAAAAGTTTTGTACTTTTCTTTTTGATTGACATAACACATACATGCATGTATGGGGTACAGTGCTGATATTTTGATACATGCATATAATATATAATGACCAAATCAGAGTAATTAGCATATCCATCACCTCAAACATCTGTTATTTCTTTGTGTTGCACACATTCAAAACCCCATCTTTATTTTTAAAAGGACAATTCTTTTAGTTACTGTCTCCCTCCTGTGCTACAGAACATGAGAACTTATTTCTTTCATCTGACTGTATTTTTTGTACCAGTAATCAGTTTCTCTCCATAATCCACCCCCAGCCTCTGGTATCCAATATTCTATTTTCTACTTGTCAGATTCTGCCTGAATGGGAACCTGCAGTATTTGTCTTTGTGTTCTTATTTCACTTAACATGACTCTTTCAGGCTCCTCCACATTGAAAAAAGGCAGGACTTACCGTTTTTAAAGGCTGAATAATATTCTATTGTGTAAATGTACCACATTTTCTCTATGCAGTCATCCACTCATGGACATTAGGTTGATTCCATATCCTGGTTATTGTAAATAGTGCTGCTATGAACAGGGGTGCAGATGTGTCTCCAGCTCACCCATTTCCCTCCCTTTGGAAATTTGCCCAGGAGTGGGATTGTTGTGTCATGTGGTAATTAGAAAACATTTCTTGAGGAACTTCCATACTGTTTTCCATAATAGTTGTTTGACTTGCATTCCCACCAACAGTGTATTAGAATTCTTCTTTGTCCACATCCCCACCAGCATGTTTTTTAAAATTTTTTTATGATAGTTGTTCTAACTGGGGTGAGATGGTATCTCAGTGTGGTTTTAATTTGCATTTCCCTGATGATGAGTGATGGGGAGCATTTTTTCAATATCCACCTCTTGGCCATTTGTACGACCTCTTTTGAGAAATGTTCATTCCAATAATCTGACCATTTTAAAATCAGACGGTGTGGCGTCTTACTTTTCTTTTTTTCTGTTGAGTTGTTAGAGGTCCTATGTACTCTGGACATTGATCTTTTGTCAGAGGAATAGTCTGCAAACATTTCTCCTGATTCTGTTGACCATTTCCTTTGCTGTGCAGAAGCTTTGGGGTTTGCTATTATTCCGTTTGTCTATTCCATTTTCTTTTGTTTCCTGTGCTTTTGAAATCTTATCCAAAAGATTGTTGCCCACACCTTGTCCTGAAGTGTTTTCTCCTAGTAGTTTCATAGTTTGGGGTCTCACATTTAAGTCTTTTTTCCATTTTGAGGTTTTTGACTTGTAAATGGTAGATATAAGGGTCCAGCTTCATTCTTTGGCTGGTAGATCTCTAGATTCCCCAACATTATTGATGAGTCTGTCCTTTATCGAATGTGTGTTCTTGGCACCGCGGCTATGACTATGTGGATTTATTTCTGGGTTCTTTTTTATTCCACTGGCCCATATATGTGTCTGTGCAGAAGCTGGTGCCATACTGTTCCGGTTATTCTAGTTTTGTGGTGTGTTTTGAAGTCTGGGGTTTGGATGCCTCCAGATTTGTTCTCAGCATTGCTTTGGTTATTGGGGTCTTTTGTGGTTTTGTGTGAATTTTAGAGTTTCCTTTTCCATTTCTATGAAGAATGTCATTGGTATTTTGATGGGAATCGTGTTGGTCTGTAGATTATTTGGGGGAATAGGAACATTCTAACACTACGATTCTTCCAATCCATTCAGATGGGAGGTCTTTCATGTTTTGTATGTGTGTGTTCTCATCAGTTTGTTTCATCTGTGTTTTTAAATTTTCATTCTAAAAATTTTCACCTTGGTTGGGGTTTGTGTAAGCAAACCAAAGACTCATGTAGTTAGAGGCTTGGTCGCCAGCTTGTGGAGCCAACAGGAGGCGGAGGAATCTTCAAGAGGCGGGGCCTAGTGGGAGGCAGTTAGGTTGTTGGGGGAAGTGCCCTTGAAGGGGATATTGGAACCCACCTCCTCCTCGCTTTTGCTTCCTGGACAACATAAAGAGAATGGCTTTGCCCACTATGTGTCCCCACCATGATACACTCCTTACCACAGACCCAAAAGCAGTGGGTCAACTGGCCATGGCCTGAAAGCTGCAAGATCACAAGCAAAAATAAACCTTTCCTACTTATGAGTTGATAATCTCAGGTAATTGGTTATAGTCATGGAAAGCTGACTAATAGAACTTCTTTGGTTAAATTTATTTATAGAGACTTTAATTGTTTTCAGTAGCTATTGTAAATTGGAGTGTTTCTTGATTTTTTTTCAGCAAGTTTGTTATTTGTTTATATAAATGTTAGGGTCTGTAAACAAGTCAAGATGGCGCCTGGCATTTTGCCAGAGGGAGTGGTTTGTGAAGTAATGCCAGCGAGCCATTAAGTGTGGAGATTCCTTGTTGGTTGACTGCTGTATCTAGTTTATGTTAATTAAGATAAGCTGTGTGGAATGTATATATACCCCTCCTGTCCTACAATAAACGGCTCCTACTCCTGCTGTATCAATGTACACAAGTTGCTCATTATCCCCCGCCCCCCGTTATTTTGCCCAGCCAGCCGGACTGCGGCATATAAACACTATTAATTTGTGTATGTTGGTCTTGTATCCTGCAATTTTACTAAATTTGCTAATCAGTTCTAACAATGTTTTAAAGTCTTTTGGTTTTTCCATATGTACAGATAAGAACAGGTAACCTGCAAGCAGTTGTAGTTTGACTTTCTCTTTCCCAATTAGGATGCATTTTAGTTTTTTCTCTTATCTGATTGCTCTAGTTAGGACTTTCAGTACTATGCTAATCAAGAATGGTGAAAGTGGGCTGGGTGGTGCCTGCCTGTGATCCCAGAGGCAGGAGGATTGTGAATTCAGAGTCAGCCTCAGCAACTTGGAGAGGCCTTAAGCAATTTAGTGAAACCCTGTCTCAAAAGCAAAAAGTAAAAAAAAAAAGGCTGAGTATTTGAGCACCCCTGGGTTCCCTCCCTGGTACCAAACAAACAAAAACCAAAAAAGAATGGTGAAAGTGGTCATTTTGTTTTGTTCAGATCTTAGAGGAAACGCTTTCAACTTTCCCCTGTTCAATACAATGTTAGCTGTGGGTTTGTCATGCGTGTCCTGAATTGTGTTGGGGTATCTTCCTTCTTGCTGAATTTCTGTTTTTTTGTTTTTGTTTTTAATCGTGAAGGCATGATGCATTTTATCAAGCATCAAGCAAACTATTCTTATCAAGCCTCTTTCAATGTATGTTTCTGTGGGTGAAGAATTGGGAATTGGGCCTCCACACCAGATGTTACCCTATACCTCTAAGAAAACATTATCAAAATTTAGAAATTGTGTGTTATTGGAAAAGCTTTATTTAAAAAACATAAATAGAGCTTTCAAGAGCCATCAGGAGAAATCAAAAGGCTCAAATCATGGATACTTTTTGGGTTGCAAAATAAGGACTGTGTGTATATTGAGGTGAAATTTATGTAACACAAAACTAACCACTTGAAAATGAACAATTCGGCAGCATTTAGTACCCTCACAATGCTGGGCAGCCACCCCTCCAAGGAAATACCATTCCCTTTAAGTGGTCTCTCCCCATTTCCCTGTTTCCTCAGCCCCTGCCAACACAACCTGCTTTCTGTCTCTGTGGATTTGCCTGTTCTGGGTGTTTCACATAAATGCAACCATACCATATGTGGTCTCTTGGATCTGATTTATTTCACTTTGCATATTTTCAAGGTTCATCCACACTGTAGTATCAGAACATTACTCTTTTTTAAGGCTAAATAATATTCCATTGTATGGATGCTGTGTGTGTGTTGGGGGGCAGTTATTCTTGTTGTTTTTCTTTTTTTACAAGTTGCTTTGTCTATATCGTCTTGGTCCTCTGTAGTCAGGAAGCCTAGTTACCTTGCCACTGTGTCTTATCCCTGCTTTCATGCACACATGAAATGTGGCTTCCTGGCAGGGAAATGGTCCAGTAGCACTGTGAACTTCTCTGGGACTTCAGTGGGCAGTGTAAATCTGCAGAGAAATGCCCGCAGAACCTCACAAGCAGCATGCTAAGAATAAGAGACGCTGTGCTTTACGTTGGTGCAGAGGGGGCGGCATTTTGAGCTCGGGGTTATCCACGTCTGCAAATGGATTCTGACCCTACTGGGTTAAGCAAACACAAGTGGCCAATAGAATTGGAACAAAGGTTCCAACTTGTGGAACTCTGGCTGGAGCAAAATTATTTGAACAGTCTCTGCAGAGGGGAGGATCCCTTGCTCTGGACTGCCGGGAAGGTCGTTAGTAATTTTATTTCACTTTGACAATGAAGGATTCTGCTCCATTTTTCAAAGTCTTGCTCAGAATTTCCTCCCTGGCTCCTCCTCCCTACATCCCTGCTGAGGGGCCGCCCGGCCAGCAGGAAGTGCTTCCTGTGCTGGGTAAAAGCTATCGGATGACAGGCCGAACCCCTTCCAAGGCAACATCGGAAAGCTGAGCCTCCCGGTCCTTCCTCTCAGGGTTAATGGGATGGGTACCCAGCTCTGGTTAGTGTTTTTCTTCTGCCCAAGAAACATAAAGGTGAGTTGAGATGAAGACAGGCGATTCTGGAGCAAAATCCCCATTTTGTCCTTGGGGCTGATTGTTTCGGGGGTTTGAAACGTTGAAAAACAATACTGAATAATCCATCCCCAAGAGGAAAACCGGTTTTATTATTTATTTATTTATTTATTTTTGTTTCCCTCCCCATGAAGTGTTTGAAAGAGTTGCTGGAAAAACCAACGAAGCCGGTTTTCTTTTTCATGCCTTCTTCCGGGCAGCTCAGGAGCCTGCTCTCATGAACTTGCCCTCTGGCTCTGGTCTCGCTCACACAATTGAAAATCTTTATGGAATCTCTGCTCTGTGCCTCTGAAACTTTTTTTAAAAATCAGAACTCAATGTGCTTCGAGCCAGCCGCCCCCCTCTGCCCGGGGGCAGGGCCGTGTTGGTTTTGCCCAGCACCTGGAGGATCCTGGCACTTGGTAGGTGCTTTGTGAATGCTGACAGAAGGAATAAACGCTGCTTCCTGCCGGGCTGTATCAATATTTTCCTGGTTCTGCCAGGCCCGGTATTTGCTATGTAAGCATTTCATGTCTGCACACGTGTGCGGATGGTGAGAGGTGGACGGTCTCTCCTGCCTGGCAGCAGAGCCCCGCAGCCAGGAAACACTGCCATCTTGGAGGCTGGGAAGGGACATGGGGATGGAATCCAGGCCAGCTGGGGCTAAGGAGCCCATGCTGGCCTCGGCATGCCACATGGCCCAGGCTTTGGAATGTCCAAGCCAAGATTGGGGCGGGGGGTGTTTGCAAAATAGCAAAAGGTGCTCCTGATGGAAATCCCAGGGTGTGTTCCTCGGGGCCCAGAAAAGCCTGACCCCAGAGCCCACAGGGAGGAGGAGCACTCCTCCACTTCTTCCCAGTTTGGCCCCAGGTCACAGCAGAGAACCAAGCAGTTTCTGGGCCTCTGAGGACAGAGGTTGGGTGGCCAGCTGGGAGCATTCCCCAGACAATTCCCTGCCTCCCAGGGCTTGGTGTGGGAGAGGGACGCTCTCCCAGCCCTGGACAGAGTTAGTGTACAGCCGTGGCATGGTGGCCAGGGAGGGATTTCAAAGCAAATTGTCTGTGCTGATTCAGTCCTGGCTAGACTTATAAAAGTGTTTTTAGGGGACACCTAGATATGAATGTCCCACGGCACTGAGTGAGTCTGAGCCACTAGGCGGGCGTGGTGTTGCTGGGGCAACAGCAGGCACTTGAATCTGGACTGAATTTTTAGGAGACTGATTTCTACTGTGCTACTCAAAGGAGAATAATTTTTATTCATTAGTGGACAATTCAAGGCCTTCAGAACAAAATGCAGACGTGTTTTAAAAAATGTGCAAGAAAAGAAAACATGTATTGATGAGGAGCTCTGATTATCTGTCAGGGTTTCTTCAGAGACACAGAACCAATAAAGGGGGGAGGTGCCCCTCAGCATCCATGGGGAATTGGCTGTAAGGACCCGCACAGACTCCCAAATCCACAAATGCCCAAGACCCCTAGATAAAATGGTGCAATATTTACCTATATCTTTCATATGCCTGAATACTTTAAATCATCTCTAGTTAGCTTAGAATATCTACTACAATGCAAATGCGATGTAAAAGTGGTTACACTGTATTGTTTATCGAAAAACAATAAGAAAAAAATGTCTTACATGTTCAGCATAGATTTTTTTTTTTTTTTGGTACTGGGGATTGAACCCAGGGCCATCTACCACTGAGCTACATCCCCAGCCGTTTTTATTTTGAGATGGGGTCTTGCTAACTTGTCCAGGCTGGTCTTGAACTTGTGATCCTCCTGCCTCAGCCTCCCGAGTCCCTGGGATTACAGGTGTGCACCGCTGTACCCCGCCAGATGCAACTTTTAAAAAATATTTTTGAACCATGGTTGCTTGTACCCAGGGATGTGGCTGGGGCTGTACACACACACACACACACACACACACACACCCTCACACACATGGGCGTGCCTGTGAAGAGATTGAGAGAAAGAGGTAATCCGCATTACACAACTTTTACTGATTCACATTTTTAGCTCATTTAAAAAACACCTTTACAGCAACATGGAGATTGATGTTTGAGCTGCCAACTGGGCTTAACCAAGTTCACACATCAGAGTAACTGTCAGGGCACCTCGTGTTTGTTTTATATTTTAAATGCTTAAAAAAAAAAAAAAAAAAACTTTTGAGTGGGATAGATGAGTTGGGAGGGTGAGCCACGAAAAGTGAACTAGAATCTCTCTGTGTCTTGGGTGCCAGGGAGGTTGCTCCTGGCGGTGGCAGGCTGGGGGAGGCATGTGTGTCTATCTGGCAGCTGAGACCCCCCAACCTGGAGGTCTGGGAGGGGTGAAGCTGAAGGCAGAGGCAGGTGACAAACTCTGTGACAAAAAGCTCAGAGAAGGAGGAACAGTGTGATCCTGAGGGGCAGCCGTGTCTCCATGGCCCCTGGAAACAGGACAGACCGATTCAGGACGTGGTGACTGCAGGACGGGTGCCCTTTCCTGGGATCTCTTCAGCTTGGGAGGGCATAATGGTAAGTTCAAAATTATTAATAAATTAATTATTTCTTAAGACATAACTTAAAAATAATAATGACACCAAACCATTCTTTAGTTCCGAGACATTAAAATCAATTTCCATTTTCTGACAACTCAACGAAAGTGTCTTTGGCTTTGAGTCGATGAAATGTGGCTTCTATCACAGGGAGTGTCCCCTGGAAAGAGAGAGGAAGGTTGTCTGTAAACCTCTGCCGAGGGACAGCAACCTGGAACACACAGGGCTTCGAACTCCTGCAGAGATTGTCCAAGATCTTCAGTGGTTATAAACGGCCCTAGTCACATTCCCTTATTTTCCAAACGATTAAAAACTTGAAGGCATAAAATTTAAGACTAGGTGTCTTAAGGACCGCTGTGTCCTTCCTCTCGTTGTTGCACAGTCGCCAGCCCGAATGCCCCTCCCGTGTGTTCCTGGTTGGATCCCGTCCCCACGTGCACACAGCCGGTCCAGCAGCTGGCTCACCCATGCTCTCTCCCATCAGGGCTCAGCATGCGGTGCGCTGCTGTTTGACTGCCCACCTGGGGCAGGAGCTCAGCATGGCAGAGGCAACTGCAGTCTGCACAGCACTCAGGACATGTGAGACAAGGGTGGTGACCAAGCTGGCTGTCCATCAGAATGGCCTGTCCCCTCCTCCTCTGCCTCCCAGCCTTTCTTGCAGTGAGGTGCAGCCATGGACTAAATTCCTGCAAATGGAACGTGGGGGCTGTTTCTGGCCTGGGACCCACAACCCTGCGTAGGTCTTGTCTCCTCACCTTTCCCTTCCTGCTGCCTGGAATCCAGGCTTGATGGCAACTCAGCTACAGTCTGTGGACAGTGAGAATGGGCTAGGAGACCAGGCAGCGTCACAGAAGGGACCCTGCTTCCTGGGTAATGGTGTGGAGCCGAGCCGCACTGTGGACTTGGAATGCTGGGTAAGACAGAAGTGAATTTCCATGATCTAATGACTGAAGAGCTCACCAGGACACACACGTGGCGCGCACGGGTTTAAGGAAGCATACCCATGCACAGGGAGTGTGCAGGCTGGACAGCGGACTCCCCCTAAGACCCAGAGGCAGGTAGAAAGTAGGGAATGCCCTGCTCAGGCAAGGAAGCCACCTTTGGATGTCCCAGAGGGGCAGGAGGAGCTCTGCTCCAGGTCCTCTTGTACATAGGTCCACATGTTGGCCAGAGGTTGGCGGCCAGAGCTCTCAGGCCGGGCAGCCGAGGGGTGGGCTCACAGGCTGAGTCCATTAGCAAGCACCCAGACTCGGACTAAACAGAACCAGCCTGCTAAGACACAAGTCCTCAGGCTGGCTTGGGTCCAAGGTGTCCATGCAGCAGGGGACAGCATCTAGAGACTGCTTTGGGTGCTCTATCCAGAGAGAAGGCAGGAGGGCAGGGCAGGAGCGTTCCCCCGCAAGCCTATCACATACCGGCTCCATGCTCTTATGCTCTCATTTAATCCTCAACAGCCCTGTGAAGTGGGACAATAACCCTGCTTTACAGCTAAGTAGACAGAAGTTCACTTTCCCAAAGCCACCCAGGTAGTAGGACAGCTGTCACCCAGACCTTGGGTCTAAAACAAACTCTCACTCTCCTGTACTGCATGGCCCCAGCATAAGCCACAGGCAAGAATGCACTTTCAGTCAGGACCATGTGGGCCTGTCTGCTCTGCATCGATGGTCCTCCCTGGTCCTTCACCAAGGCCGTCACTGTCCACATCTTATAGCCACATGGCCTGGGGTCTCAGGGTAGGGTATGTATACCCCCGAGGGCCAGGGCCTAAGGTGTCAGCCTTCTGGGGGATACTGCCATCAGTCTGCAAGGGATGGGAAGGGATGGGAAGGGCTTTGGTGTGAGGACTCTAAACTGTTCCCAGGTTTCAGATCTGGTCCCGTGAGCAACAGCACCAGAGGGTGCTAGCACCTTACCGCATCCTGGTCACAGCAGGAGAAATTATATTCCATGCCTTCTGTCCTGCACTAGAGACCCCAGGAACACATCCAACAAGGCCACTGGGTGCCCCTGTGGACCCGGCACTGGGAGTGACACAGGAGCCAGACAATGGCATTCAGACCGGGGATTCTGATTTGACTTAATGAAGGGTAGGAGAGGCAGGGCCTTCAAGGGTGCTTGGATGGACACCTGGAGAATTCTGGTTTTACTTATTGTGCCCTCTCGCGTGACATATCACCATTAGAGCTTAATGCCTTTAGATAAGGAAGACTTAAGATTTTGAGACAGTCCTAGAGTCCCCAAGGAAGAGCAATGCCACAAGCCATCGCTACTTGAGGGTCAGGGTTAGTGACCTCTGGCATCCTGGCCCTGTGGCAGGGGACACAGGATGGGTACCTAAGATGAACTAGCAGCAGAGGGAGGAGGACGGAGAGGGAAGGACAGGGTCCTCGGGACAAAACTCCCCCTCGTTCTCAGGCCTGGGCTTGGGTTCAGTTCTCCACTCTCTGGGGAGAGCGTCTAGTTTTCACCTGAGGGGTGATTCTGGTTTATTCATGCCAGTTTGGATCTTTTTTGTTTTTTCCAAAAGATGGATCTAGAGAGAAGTCTGGGCCTCTGACTCTGGCCTCAGTGTTGGCCAGTGAGCTTTTCAGGGAGGGAGGTGGGGGGTGTAGGCGACCTTCCTCGACTTTGAAAAGTGGCAGAGGAGGTGTGCCTCCTTGCCCACTGGGCATCGCTGCAGGGCAGGCCATAGCACTGCCAGTCAGATAGCACTAGAGCTCCCTAGCCATGTGCCCTGGTTGTATGAGGGGAGTCTGTCCTCCTTTACACCACGTGGAGTCTGATTTTCATCCATTCATTTATCAAACAGACGTTTTTGAACACCCAGTATGTGCTTGGAACTTCATGTAATCCAGGGGAGACAGTTTACGTGATAGATAAGTCATCAAAACAGTAGGTGCATATAAAGAGGATGTCTGGGGGAAGCCTTACAGAGAAGGTGACATTCAGTCCCAAG